ATGATCACTCACTACAATGCTGTCTTCAAGGTCTGAAGGTCTATCTTCAGTTTCATTCAAGTAGGTTTGCCAGCTTTCAATAGAATTTTAAATTTCCTGGATATCTCTTTGATTCTGTTTCATGCATTCTAATTCTTTCCTGTATTGTTCATTCAATGTTTATGGCACTTTTGTATGCTCCTCTATTTTTTGTGTATGTGTTCTTTAAATGTCCTGAGCAATTCTTTCATTATTGTTGTCATTTTTTTTTTTTTTTACCTGAGAGATTATTTCCGATCTGATGTCTTCTATGGCCTGATGACATGTTTCTTTACTTCAGTTGCTATCATTTCAGAAATTTCATGTGTATGACTTTCAAGCTCTTCTATGTCAATGTCTCCTGGATTTGTTCTGGGTGGGATGGAGGCCTGAGATTGCATTTTGCTCCATCTTGTCATTTTCAAACATCCTGAGGTTCCCCAGGGTTCTGCAATGGTGGGAGGAAGGTGAGCAGAGTTGCTCCCCTCCAAGTTTCCCAGGGACTCAGTGTTCCTCCCATGATGATGGAGGTGGGCAGAGTGCAGTCTCTCCCTTTGTGTGCAGCTCATCAAAGGTCCCAAGTTTCCCTAAGACTCAGCATCACTCTTGTAGTGATGTGGAGGGTAGGGTGCAGATCACTGAGGCTCATGAATCTTCCCGGAGGGCTCAGCGTGGCTCCTGCAATGGTGTGTGGGGGCAGGGCAGGGCTCATCCTGGCCCATTTAATCCTATTTCTGAGAAAAATCAAATTTCCCTTCCAATTGCAAATTACAAGCAAGAAGTTAAAAGGTATAGTTTCTAGACTCAGGCACTCTGACAGTTGTAATGTGGTAACTAACAAAGGCAAAGAAAGCTGAAAAAGTATTAAAAGCAGCCATATGTTAAAGGATGAGATTGATTATCCTAGTAAGAAAAAATTCTTCATTATTTTATACTTTATTTTGCCTCAAATAATTTTGTTCTTGTAGCAAACTCATACCATACTACACAAAAGAGTAGCTTTAAGATTTTCTAAAAAGGCAAGACTCTCTGATTTTCTGACCAATTTCAGAGGCTACATGTTAATTTCCCAATATAACATGTGGTTATAGTTACACAAGACATGTGTAACGTTTGCTTCAAGAGAATTGAATGAAGAGTATTGTATGACTACAATGTCTTCCTTGTAACACTGCAATCACATCATTTTACGGAAATAAGAAAATTTTAAATGAAAATGTTTAAAGGCATATGGAGAAAATGTCTTTTTAAAAACCAGTCACATTTCTTGCTAACACAATTCTGTTCTCATTGATTTCATATCATACAAACTGGTCTAAGTGAGCATATAAAAATGGAAATTGCCTAAGGCTGAACACAATCCTGATACAGCAGTCATACTTTGTTGCCTTTCTGTATTAACTATTAACCCACAAGAACTGAAAGGGCTAAGGTCTACAGAGCTTTGTATTTGCACCTTAGGCCACCAGATCTGTTTCTAAATGTGGCTGGAGAAAGAGATGAGAATGGCCCCATGGTGTGAAAATTTGGGTTCCTTTTTAGGGCCAAATGTTATGATGCCAAAAGTTGGCAAGGAGTAATAATCATAATAAATGTATGTTGAGCACTTGTTATGCTCAGTTACTATTCTAAGCTAGTTCTGTAAATTAAACTTGTTTTTTAAAAGCCCTATTAGGCAGCACTATTATTATTATTCCTATTCTAAATATGATGCAACTATTGCTGAGAGGTTGAAGGACTTGACCATGATCACAAAGCTAGAAAGCAGCTGGGCATGATGGTGCATAGCTGTAATCCCAGCACTCAGAAAGCTGAAGCAGGAGGACCGACACAAGTTTGAGGTGAGCCTGGGTTACATAGTGAGTTCAAGGCCAGCCTGCATTACAGAGTGAGGTCCTGCCTCAAAAAACCAAACCAAACCAAACAAACAAACACACAAAAAGCTAAAAAGCAAAGACACAAAGACTAAATTCCTACCAGAATTCTTTGGTACCTCAGCAAGGATTTTCCTTTCTATTTATTAATTATTATACCTTTCAATCAAAGAATAGAACTTGTTTTAAAGTTGCAGTGTCACTATGATGATGTTGTACCAGCATCATTCTTTGCTACTCCAATTTTATGAAGAAGTAGGATTTCAAAACAGAACCATCAACCTACAGCCTACTTGCTGATCTTCAGGACTATAGTGATAGTTGGTATCTTTACTATTAAGAGAGATACTCAATATGTCTGTTTATACTCTTGGGAAGGCAAATACAGCCACATAACATATTTTGAGATTTGTGGTCTTCTTCCCTGTGTTGTTTAAGATTCTTTTGGTTGGAAAGACTAGAAACCAACTCAACTAACTTAAGGTGGTATAATTTAAAATGTTAAGGTTTACTATCACCTTAAAATAAAGCTAGATGGTACTCAAACAATGTAATGTATTTATCACTCATCTACCACCTTGGCTTTCCCCCATATTGCCTTCATTCTCAAGCTGACTTCAAGTGGTAATGCAATGGCTATCAGCCAGTCTAGAGTTTTTCTTCCCAGTGCTGCCATTTTAGTCAAATGTTCACAGCTATGACTAGCCTGCTTGGGCCCCAAGCCTACTCTTGAATGATTCTCTATAACCAGGGTGCACATTATTCTCAATTATTATGTATGAACCACTGGCATGAGAAGAGAGTTCAGTCCCAGCTGAAGCACAGGCCTTATATGAACCAATGGAGGAGGGTGGTTTGCCAAAGAGTTGGTGCTACCTCAATACAAGGAAAAACTTGCTGAGCAGGGAGACACTACAGATGTCTATTATACCCACCTTGGCTTACAGAAGGATAAGATGGTCAAGAAAATTTGGGATTTTTTTGAAGATTTGGGATTTTTGACCAAAATAACTTCTCTATTGTGAACTAATCTGTGATAAGTTAAGTAAGCCAAGAATGGGCCAAAGGATGTTAACAAAGTCTCAGTGAATCACATCAATGCAGCAACAGCAGCAGCAGCAGCAGGAGAAAATGCAGAGACTGTGGCATTCAGAAATGATGTAGCTATTTGGGCAAAGACAACCTCTAGCATAGAAGGTAGAGCATTGCTGCAAAATCACTTTGCCACACCAGTCTAGAGATGAACTTCACATATGTAATGCTTACTGTAAAAGTAACCACAAGTCACATGAGTCAGAGTTTGTAGCTTTGCAAATCTACTGAGAACAACGCTCTCAACAGTAATATCTTTAAGTGACAGGAATACTGTACAGAGATAAAGTGTGAAAGAGCTTAATATTCTCGTGTACACATAAATTATTCTAATTCAACTTGTCATGCTGCATAGGTTTCCATTCATTAAATATTGAAGTTACCTGGTTCAGACAGTTCCTCACTTACACTGTGTTAAGAAACTTCATTTGTTAATCAGTGCCTGAAAAGTAAGAATGCATTTTCCCACTGAAACTGATTATAAAAGCTGACTGAGTTCTGTTAGGTCCCTCACATTGTACCCCACCCAACTTAAAGAGAAAAACTCCAACAGATAACCAAACAGAAACCCCTCACTCAGCTGAAGAAACTAAAGTAAATCTGTTTATCAGGATGGTTCCCAGGCCTAGTTTTCAGGCTTACAGGAAACCTCCTCAGTCTACAGAATGCCACGCTGTAAATCAGCAACATGCAGATGTCCTCCTGCACTTCCCTCCCCCAGAGGCACCAGATCCACCACTCACCCCTGAGAAATTTAAATTTTCCACCTTTCTCGGTGGAATTTCCCCCTCCCATACCTAAAATAGTCTATAAAGTAGGCCCCCTTCCCTTGTTCAGGGCCAATGGGCCTTTCACCCTTGGCCAGGTTGCCCCCAGCCTAAAATAAAGATATCACTGTTTACTTCAATCCTGCCTATCCTAGACGTCTTGGTCACTTCTCGGAGTCTTGCCTGACAGGTCCTAAGACTAGCCTATAAGTAATTTGAATGTAGTTAGCTCAGTGCTTAGCACATTTTAAACATTTCATGGCTTGTATCTGTTGTTATTAGTTATGATATAATAAACATAAAATAATCAAAATAACTTAAATAAAAAGTGATAATTAAGCTAATAGGCACTTAAAAATGACAGGAACAACCAGTGAAGTGCTACAAAAAGTTAAGTCTTTGATACCATTTTAAAAAGATATTTACTGGGGGCTGGGGATTTAGCTCAGTGGCAAAAGCGCCTGCCTGGTATGAGCAAGGTCGTGAGTTCGGTTCCCGGTACCGGAGAAAAACCAAAAAAAAAAAAAAAAAAAAAGATATTTACTGTATTTCAGCTTAAAGATTATTTTCTAAAGAAGTAATTAGGAAAGTATTTTAATCTGTCAGAATATTGTTTATTATAATTTAACTGTGAGATTCTATATAATTGCAAAACTGAATCAGCTATTGTTAGTATAACTAAATCCATATACACAGGAATGATATTTAATGAACTGCCTTTCAGAATTTCTCTTTCCACATGCTTAGATACGAATATAATTTCACTTACAAATTGCGGATATTTCTATTACCCAAAAAAGAACTGTAATACGCACACAGTTATAATTGAGCTTACATCTTAATTATTTACTCTTCTCTTTGCAGCCTGAATATTCTATGCTTCAGATCTCTTTTGCAAATAAAAATTTCATCCAGGAGTATTAATGCAGATACCCTTTTGACTCAGATGACAAATTCTTTTAGTAACATGAGTAACTTTTCTGCAAAATTAACTTCATTTAAGTATTCATTCCACAGATCTCTTATAGAATAATCTGACACTAATTTCAGTTTTTAAAGATTATGCCAATGTTAGAGCTTTCTAACTGCTATCATTTATCTGACCACTTGTTTATAATGAACTTTTGAGGAGATTTTAAAGTCAAGTATCTGTTTAAGGAATAAATAAATGTAGAGAATTATTGGTATAAAAAATTGTGTGACTTAGTGTCAATAAGGCTACCTCATTAGGGTCTGAATTGCCACTTACCAGATATCTGCCACACAATGTGTCAAGGAGATGGAGTAACCAATCACTTGATGGAACTTTGCTTCATTCTGTCATTTACTCAACAACTCATTACTGAGGACCTAACATGTGTCAGGGATTTTTTTCTTGATTCTGAGGAGAAAGGAGGAAACAATACAAAGCCTCAGTTCTCAACAGAATTTGTATTCTGCTTCACAAAGACAGACAGTCAATTAGTACGTACTTTTTTTCTTTCAATGGGGGTTAGAGGAGCTGGGTAAGGCTAAGTAGGGAGAGGAAAGAAATGACCAGAGAAGACCTCTCTGAAGAAGTGACACCTGAGAAGACACTTGAATGGGCAAATGAGCCATACAGAAATCAGAAAGACAGGAAGTGCAAAAGCCCTGAGGTTGAATAAGCCTATTATGTTCAAGGAACAGGAAGATCATAGTGGCTAGAACAAAGTAAGCAGGGAAGCAGGGAGAATGATGGGAGCTGCATAGATGAAGTGGGACGCATCCTACCGGGTTCTGCAGACCATCTTAAGGAGTTTGGGTTCAGGTTTAGTTGTAAAGAGAAGTAATAGAATATTGGCAATAAGACAGAGATATCAAAGCAGTTTATAGAAAAGGCTCTAGAGAGGCCATTTCAGCAGGCTGGGCAGAGTTTGGTACCATTGCAATATTGTAATATTGACTCTTCACTGTTAATTTCCAAGATAAAAAATAAAAATGTTTTTTGTGCAACTGGGGTGTTGGGAAGAGAAATGTCAGCTATTTAACTGCAGTGGTACAAATGCAGCTAGCATAAAATTCCTATATCCATAATGACTAGGGAAACTTGCCTACCCCAAGTGCCAGTTTACAGAGGTTCTTTGTGGATGGAAGATTAAGGAACAATCTGAAAGGTCAGAATATTTTGAAATGCATTTACCACCTTGTCTCACGTCTCCTTCCCGTTGTCAGCCTGACTCTTGCTCTTATGAATGGAAAAGCAGGAGGTACGCTGCACGCGCTGAGCACCTCTTCTAAAGTGAAACACTGCCATCTGGAGGCTTCTAGAGTAAAAACCATAACGCACCCCGCCCGCCCAACACACACACCCTGTTTCTGTTTAATGTTTCTATACAAGTTAAGTGATTTAGAAAAAACTATGAAGCCATTGTTTTAAAAAGAAGCAAGAAGAAACTTCTCAGTCCCGCACTCTTGTTTTGCCTTGCCCAATCAATCAAATGGAAAGTCTTTACAGTTTTGAAGACTTCATTTTTTTGTGGGCTGTTAAGTTCATTATAAATGAAGAGGGTATTCATTTCTTTCTCTCTAGTCTATCAAAACTAACACTAGGCCTTATTGTTTTTCAAATAGTAAGTATTCTCTGATCTCTTATATGGTTATTTATCTATTTAAATTTTCTGTTTGTTCAATTTTGACCATTTGTATTTTTGAAACAAAACATCAATTTCTTCCAGATTTTCAAATACATTGTCAGAGTGACATGTAATATTCTTCTATAAAAATTGTAGGCTCTTATCTGCCTCTAAGTATGTATAAATTCTAAACTTTAATATATCTTTCCTTTCCTCTTCTGTAGGATTTTTTGGGGAGAAGACTGAAGATCAAAACTGGGGCCTATGGTATATTAGGCAAGCGCTCTACCACTAAGCTACACACCAAGCCCTATTGTAGGATTGGTGAGTAGGAGAAAGACATTTGATACCAGGAAGACAATCTGTGCTGATGATAACATACAGAAAGGGCTGAAAGAGAGATGACATGGGAACACTGTTTAAAAGGCAACTATACCATCTCAACTTAGTTATGACTGGCATCTGAACCACAGAGAAACAGATTCAAAAGATTCTGCAAATACATGCATAGCCATGTTTATAGCAGCACAATTCATAGTTGCTAAATCTTGGAAGCAGCCCCATATTTCCATTAGCAGGTGAACGGATAAAGAAAATGTGGTATTTATACACGACAGACATATATCCTTTATTACTCTGCCATAAAGGATAAACTTGAGTTATTTTAAGGAAAATGGGTGCACCTTGAGACTACAATGTTAAGTGAAATAAATCAGACACAAAAGCTTAAATATCACATGATTTGTCATATATGTGAAAGCCAAAATATAAATACAGAGCAAAATAAAAGATTAATAATAGGAAATAAGGAGACAGATCTTTTGCAAAGGGAAGGAGACCAATACATGGAGCGAAGAGAAAGGATAGCAGAGGATAAAAAAAAAATTTAAATGTGCTATGTACATTCACCATGAATAATGCAATCATTATATACTGCAAACATGTACTGTACTAATAAAAATTAAAAAGACAAAAAGCTGTAGGAATTTGTGACTAAAAACATGTGTTTATTAAGAGAAGAAAAAAAGATGAACATAATGCTCTAGTTTCCAGCCTAGATGATCAAGATGTTCTTAGGGAAAAATAATGATTTCCTCTGAGGACATCTGAGTTTGAGGTGGTGGAAGGACAGCCATGTGAAAATGTCCAACCAGCCTGGATCTAGATCTACTAGGCAAAGCTGAAAGTGACAGCTGAAGTTCTGAGATCAGCTAGGGACAAAAGTAGAGAGAAAAATGTATCAAGATGTCAATAATTAAACATCTTTTATAAAGACTTACATTTTGGAGCTGCCAAACAAAATCAGAAAGCATAACACAGCAGCAAAGAAAAAGAATTTTAAGAAAGTTCAGGAGATGCTTAACACAATGCAAATAACAGATTAAAATTATGAAGAAATTGATGACACAAAAAGTTTTAGATGAAACAAAGTGCCATCAGTTGGAAAGATGTTCCCAATATATTTGATGATCGTAAGACTATGTTCCTTAATATGTGACCCTTAAGAGTCATAAGAAGATCATAAAAGAAAAAACTGATAGCTTGCTCTGTGAAATGTCTTGTAAAGATAGAAGAGGATACATAATAGAGGAAGAAAAGATTTACAAATCACTTACTCAGTAAAGAATTCTATCTAGACTATTAAAAACTCTCAAATCTCAAAAAACAACAAACCACCACTGACAAGATCTTCAGCTGATTTTAACTAGAAATGGACAAAGAAATGAAGACACTTTACCAAAGATGAGGCAGCAATGGCAAATAAGAACATGGAAAGATGTTCACCAATATTTGCTGTTAGGAAACTACAAATTAAATCCACAACGAGATATTATTAGACACCTATGAGAATGGCTAAAATTACAAAAGGCTAATACTAAATACTCGCCAGAATGAGAAGAAACTGAAGGCCAGGAATATAGCTCAGCGGCACAAACACCTACCTGGCGAGCGCAAGGTCCCAAGTTCAATTCTCGGAACTAAAGAAAAAAAAAAAAAGAAAAAGAAACTGCATCACTCACACATTACTAGTAAAAACATAAAATGGTATAACCACTTTGAAACAATTGGCAGTTTCTTATAAAACTAAATGTACATCTGCCATATAGCCTAGCTCTCACACTTTTGGGTATTCATCCCCTAGAAAATGTACATGAATCTTCATAAGTTTTATTCACAACTTCCAAAAAACTAAAAAAAAAAAAAAATCCAATGTCCTTCAATAGTCGAATAACAAACTCTGGTACATCTATACAATGAAAATAAACTATTGATATAAACACCCAGGATGGATCTCAGGATAATTAAAAATACGAGTTTCAAAGGGTTGGGGCTGGGGATTTAGCTCAGCAGCAAAGCGCCTGCCTGGCAAGCGCAAGGTCGTGAGTTTGGTTCCCGGTACCGGAGAAAAACCAAAAAAACCCAAAAGCAATCAAAGGGTTAAGTACTATATGGTTGCATTTACATACTATTCTCAAAGTGACAAAATTACAGAGATGGAGGGCAGATCAGTGTTTGCTCGGGGACAGGGTCTTGCGGGGTGCGAGTGTGGAGAAACCACAAGGGAGTTAGTTCCTTTGCAGTGATACAATAGTTCCACATCTTGACTGTGGTGGTGATTATACAAATCTATACATGGGGTAAAATAGCATCATACTTTACACACACACACGAATTTAAAATGAACAAAGTCCATAGTTAGGTGGACAATATTATGTGACTGTTAATTATGTCGTTGCTATATTTGCAGTTGTACAACTGTATAGGATGTTACCATGGGGAAAACTTGGTAAAGTACACTCAATTGATGCTAACTACTTACTTACTCTTTGTCTTATTTTAGAAGCATTAACTCAGGTAAATATTATAACATTCCTCTATGAAGAGGAATTATCCCCAATTTTCAGATGAAAAAAAATGAGTGATAGAGAGTTGAAGTAACCCACCCAGATTACTCAGCTAAATACAGGTAGTCTGCTTCACATAGTAGAGTGGGACTGTAAAATGGCCATGCTATGAAGTGTTCTTAACAATCAGTGTGAAAATTATGGTTTACAAACTTTGCCAAAACACTAAAAACATTCCTACTGTTTATTACAAATGTACACAGAAATGAAATGAAAATAATACAATATTTATTTAGTATACTATGATGTAAAATATTGGCAACATTGAGAATTAGAGGATTTTATTTCTTTTTTAAAAATTCATGGTACATATCTTGAACACTCATTTAAAGTGTATCTCAGACAGTTACGCTAGGGAGCATGTATCTTTTTTATTCCTTGGCAAATCATTATTATCATTTTTTGATTTTTTTTTTTTTTTTTTGAGGCAGGTTCTTACTATGTAGTTCAGGGGGGCCTAGAACTCATGGCAAGCCTCCTACCTTAGCCTCCCAAGTACTGGGATTATAGGCATGAGCCTCCACACCCAGCACTATTCTTATTTTGAAGTGTAGATCATCTTCCAATATTTTGTCCTTTGTGCTTTTAGTGTTGTATACTATCTCTAGGAATTCCCATGATGTGAAGTTTTTGCCTGGGGTCACTTCTTCTGGGACACCTTCATCTTTTTCCTCACAATTTTCCTAACATGAATAAGTGCTTTGCCTACATTCCTCTGGATGCCTATCTTGTAGTCTCTCAAATGGCAACAGAATCAACATTTCCACTCTAGTTTTTTTTTTATATATAATTTCTGTTCAAATTTTACCTCCAGCATTGATTCTGTACTGATTTTTCATCTTTGTAGACCAATTCTATCTTTTTTTTTAATCACTACTTTTGTAAAATGCCGTGGGGGTCAGTCAATGGAAGACAAGACAGTGATCTATGTATTGTCTTCATGTAAGGTGAATTAAGAGAGGGGCAGTGATTAATCACCAAAGGACTTTAAAAGAATTCATGCATGGACCACTGATATGTACATTTGTTATTTACGTAGTGATTTGCAGTTTAAAGAGCAAGCAGCAACATTTACTCTTTATGCAATTGCAGTTAATATTCAAAAATCAGAACTGTGTTGTTGGGAGACTGGTGCTATTTAACTAAAGCATGGCAAATAAAATTTGTATATAACAGAACTGTGGCAGAGCAAGGACTACCTGTCGTAGTTTAGTCAAACCCAGGCCAATTGATGACAGAATGCTTTTATTTAACTTCTATTTTTATTTTTCTTCGGGTACCAGGAATAGAACTCACGACTTTGCGCTTACCATGCAGGCACTATGCTGCTGAGCTAAATCCCCAGTCCCTTATTTAACTTCTAGATAATGCTGCGTCTTACAATAGATATAGTATCTGTATTAAAAATATAGAAATATCTCACTACAGTAGAAAAATGAGTTGCTGAGAATATCATCATAATGATATGATTTGCTATTTCTAAAACAAAATTATTGTGAAAAGAGTAATTTAAGTTTGTATTCACATAGAAACAGATCTATAAAAATATTCATCAAGTTGTTGACAAAAGTGATTATCTGAAGAATGGGTTGCAGGTTCTGAGACTCATTTTACATTATATGTTCTTCTTTCTCCCTACGTCCATCCATCCTGAGATATTAAGTCAAATAAAGGAAGAAGGACAAGGAGGTGAAGGAGAAAGAGGGAAAGGAAATGAAGACCAGGTCCTCACCAGTGTTGGAGGCTATAAAACACAAATGGGACAGAGCCTGAGACACTGAGAAGGCTCCGTCTCTTAGCTCCTCTCCAACTTTAGCATTGTCACTCTCTCCTATTTCAGTCTCTCTCCTTTTCAATATGCTCAGACATCGCCCAAGTTAGTTAAAAAAAAAATCCTTCACTTATTGATCCCTCCAATGACTGTTCTTTTCTTGTGTTTTTTCCTTCACCCTTTTAAAAAATTGTCCAGGATCTCAAATGAAAGTTCTTTCTCTTCTGTCTCTAATTCTTATCTGCCCACTACTTCCTAACATACTGCTATCTCATTTCCAAAACAATGTCTAAGCTGAAATTGTTCTTTCAAAAGTCAGCCTGGTACAAAACAACTTCCTTCCCACTCCTGCCCCCTCCAAACCTGGTGGAGATTCAGCATGAGCAATTCCTAGCAACAAACACAGCTCATGTTGTGTTCTGCTGGGGTTTTCTGCTGAGATCCAGCCTCTGATGAGAGGCTGCTAGTCATTCCAGAAGTTTTATGTTGAGACACAAGTCTAGGTTCTAGTCTCTAGATTCAGGCACACTTCATCTCTAGATAGGAAACCCGAACCTGGAAGAGGATGTAAAGTGGGAGAAGTGTGCAGAGGGAGAAACTCCTGTCTCCACTCATGCCCTTGGCTTTACCCTCTGGGATCTACATCATACCCTAAAATGGAGAAACAAGATGGTAAGCTATAAGTTAAAAAGGAAGAGATCCTGGGGAAATTCTCCTCAGCTTTGCTTCCTCTACCATAATGCTGTAGGATGGGAAGGAATTTTCTTAAAAGAATAAACAGCATTTCCTCATAAAGTCACAAAATTTTTGTGTTTTGCTTTCCTTGGAGATGATGTCTTGCTGTGTTGCCCAGGCTGGCCTTGAACTCTGGATCCTTTTGTTTCAGCTTGTAAAGAGTCAGTATTACAGGCATGCACCACCACACCCAGCTAATAAAGTCATGTCTTTATTAACTCCTTCAGTAAACTATTCTCCTCTCCCCAAAACTGTATTTCTAGGAATAGTCAGAATTCCCCTAGAGAGATTCCAAAAGTCTACACAAGGGAGAAGTTGACTCTTCTCTCCACTGATGGAAAGAAGAATAAAGGAAAAGCCTGTTGTTAGGAAACACCTTTGCTCTGGCATCAGATGTTCTCCCTCATCCAGAGTAGCCCAGAGTGGCATCCTAAAGAAGCTCCAGTCCAGATTCCCATGGCCAGCAGAAAGGGAGAGGAGAAGCACTAATAGCCACAGGCACTGGGTCTCCCCTCTGTCATTCCAGAGAGAAAAGGGTGAAGTGAGGGCCTGCTAGTTGTAAAGGAATGAAAAGGGATAGATCTAGAGACCCTACAGGTCCACAATAGGAACTCAGATGATAGCAGAGCCCATCTGTTACAAAGCTGGAGATTCAGGCATATGTCTTGGGAGGCAGGGTCTTCAGGACTATCCTAAGGCCTTGTGATGCCTGGCTCTCCACACTCCACCTTCCCTTATAGTAGACATAGTCCAGGATAGAGAACCATGCATGCTGCCACGATCAGGTGTACTTGGAACGTATGGAGACGAAGGGCATCTTGGGAAGAGAAGACTCTCTAGTAACTTTCTTCTATTGGAGGAAGAAAACATTTTATGGTACTGGGATTTTCCCACAAGCTCTTTTTTTATTTCATTCACTCATTCATTCATTTATTCATTTATGGTGGTGCTAAAAAGGTTTTCTCTAAAGGAAAAAACTTTGTGTGTAATTAAGACAGAAATCAAAGTCAGAAGCTAGGCAAGGAACCATGAGAACAGGAGGGGATCCATCAATTCTGAAGTTCAAGCAAAACAAATACAATAGACATCAGGCCAGTAAGTAGGAGGCAAGGCCTCAGGGAATCCAAGAAGTAGGAGTGCACAGCAGTGAGACCCTGGAGAAAGGCCAGCGCTGGGCTCACCATAGCAGAGATTTCCTGCTTCCCTGCCAGAACTAATTCTCTGCTCCCAGTCCATGGTCAGTGTTTCCAGGTTTCCAGGCAAGACATTCTGGGACCAGCGCCATCTAGCTCCCTCGTTTCGGCCTTAGCTCATAGGTCAGCTGTCTCCTCACTGTGGCCTTCCATGCTGACTCCAAAAAGACCTACTCCTCTCCAGCTCTTCCACAATTGTGGTTGTTACTTTCTTTGAGTTCTGTCCAAAATTATTTTTATACTTGTTTTAATTATTGCTTTGCCAAGTGATATATAAATCCCACAAGAATGGAGACTTTGTCTACTTTGTTCCCTGTTGTCTTAGTTTCAAAACAGATGAAGGTTTGGTTACCTGAGAGGTTATTTGAAGCTCAGG